TATATATATATATATATATTTTTTTTAATAATTTGGTTAGAAAAAAAAAATTCTATCAAAACAAAAATATCAAATAAATAAATTTTTACACATAAAAATACAAAACTCTAAAATATAAAAGATAAAAGTTCAAGTATAAATTAACCAGAAAGGTCAAAAAATTTAACTCCAAAAGTAATTACAATAATAACCATTTTAAAAAGTGCTATCAGGTGTTTTGAGCAAGCAAAACTCGACAAACGCGCTTGCGTGTAAATGCGTGACCAATTACAAGCTGTGATTACTAGATTCCACGGTTCACGAGCAAAGCCGGTTGAGTTAGCTTCCTCTTCCAGGTAATAGTCACCATTTCATTCTATTCCACTTGATATAATAAATAAATCTCAATCGCGTAAAAATTCAGCGTTTTCCCTAAAATTTTTATAAAAATAAATCTGAATCCGAACTCGAGGTCAAGTTTAAACGCCGTTCCTAAAAATCATTCATATAATTCAAAAATTTCATGTATATATATATATATGGCCATTAAAATTTCCATCGAAAGTAAATAAAAATCGCCCCTCCCCCGAAACAACGTATCTGCTTGGCGACTCAACTCGATCGATTTTTTCAAACACAGACGCCGTTAATTTTCAATTACCTCAAGGATAAGAATAATACATTAACGAATAACGAAAAAATATAAAATTATTAATGTTAATAATAACAATAATGATAATAAAAAATAAAATAAAATAAAATGAAATAAAAAGTAACCCTAAAATAAAAAAAAACTCACTTCCTCACGTCGCATCACTTCCACTTGCAACCGTTTCTGATACTCATCACACTCGTCCTTATATTTTTCCATTTCCTCTTTAGTCTGTCGCATTTTCTTCTTGAGAACATCGAGGATCGTGCCTTGCACTTGCATCGCCATTATTTTATATATTTATAATTTAATAATAATCAACAACAATGTACGTTATTTTTTATTCCAATTGCAAGCACTTGGAACTTGTCACTGGCAGAGTCGCGGTCAAAACACCGGAATTGTTGGAAAAAAATATTTTATTGTAATAGCAATCTCTCTCCCAGCTAACTATTGAATTATTTTATACGAATCGCTGCTAATAAATATATCGGAATGTATTAAAGTATATTATTAATATAACTATTATTATTATTATTATTTTTTATTTTTTATTTATTAAATAAACGATGGAATGTTTGAAAGGAATAAAAGTCGACTATACTCCAAACCGTCGACCACTGACTGATTTCGGCTTAAGATGGCGGACTCGAGCTATCGGACGCCAAGCGCACGCGCACTCTCAGTTTTAAAGTAGTTACCGCGCATCACGACTTTGGCGTCACAAAAAATAGTTCGAGAAAATATTTACAGTGATTTTTTAAACCATTCGAATTTAGTGCTCGCGGATAGTTATAAATTAAAAATTGTCCATTAGAGCCCATTTGTCAATTTGT